GTGCTGGGTGCGCTGCAGCAGCGCTACTCCTGGGAGGAAGCGGCCCAGCAGCAAGCAGGCAGTTGTGGGGGGACGGAGAGCTCCAGCTGGTGGAAATGGCAACAGCTGCAGGGCAGGGAGCTCCAGAGCAGAGTAACTGCCCCCCTCCCCTTGCAGTGAGATGCTGAGTGAGCCTGTTTGGGTGGAACCTGGCCCCAACCAATCCCCTGACTGGAAGTCGGGGGGAGGGGGCGTGGCTAGCAGTATAAGAGGCCAAGTCAGGAGCTCCATCAGGCCCCAGCTGCCAGGGGAACCAGACGCCTGCTCTGGTGCTCCTGAGCTGGGAGGAGGCTGAGGACTGGCCTGGACCACCGGGACCCAAGATAGACTTCGACCGGGTGGAACCACAAACCCTGCTAGAGGTTTCGACCGCTCCACGTCCCAGAGGCTTTGCAGCCAGGTATGTGCAGAGGGGGAGAATGGAAGGAGCCCAGGGATAGCCAGACCCCATGCCAATGTGTTGCAGGTGGGATCCCTGCTGATCGAGCAGCAGGCTGATCTGCTGCTAGGGCCCTGGGCTGGCATGCCGTGGAGTGGGTGGATTTGCATCACCCCTACCTGCCACCCAACCCCTGGGTCTTCTCCCTCTGCTACTCTAGGCCAACAGAACAAGGAGACTTGATTGTTTGTGTGTCCCAATTTGAACTCTTGTTTGTTTGCTGCTTGGTCCTGAGCCAGGGCTGGGCCCCGGATGCTACTCTTGTTGGTTGCCCTTCCCTGACACTGGGCTGGGGCATCAGTAAACACCACAAAGCCTACGGGGGTTAACCCATCGTTTTTAGTACTTGAAAATCTGGCTCTCTTTTGGCTTTCAGAGGATGCCAGTTATGGCTGTCCTCTTCATCCTAGAGCTCTGATGATAATCTTGACTATTTAGTAACCGGAGCATGACACAGTGAGAATAGATTCCACACAATCATGCTCACAGAAGACCAGGATAACTCTTTACCGCAATCACCGTCCCTGTTAAAGAGCCCTATTCAGGGTAAGCTTAAAAAACAACAAATGGTCTTGCAGCACTTTAAAGACTAACAAAACATGTAGATAGTATCATGAGCTTTCATGGGCACAACCCAATGTATTTAAGCTCCTTTTACTTTTGCCCAGTGCACAAGGGTTGCCTGAATTCCTCAGGGAAAGGTGAGGTGAGTAGCAATGGGACAGCATGTGCAGTTGGTTTATGTAACGTGGTAGCAAACTGCACTTTCTGATTAATAAAAAAGAGTAATTTGTTTAAATATATATCAGGGAGTTTCCATTTGGTAAGAGATTTTTTTATATATATTTTTTTAAATTTTCTGTGAGATGGGTCCATATTTTGTCTGACTGGAAATGTAATTTTATATCGACTTCTCACAGGATCATCTTGTTGAGATGTTGATAGGCAAATCAAAGCCCCCACCTTGCAACTGCATTTGTGCTAAGAGGCTCCAAAGCAGGAACCTGTCTAAAATGAACCAGTTTTAGAATTGGAGTCCAAGAAACCTGCCTTCTGGAACATGTGTATATGTCCTCTCTCATGGTATGTCTAAATTATATCCTTCTGTCGAAAGAGGGATGTAAATTAGGCAAATCAAAAGTGAAAATGAAGCGGGGATTTAAATATCCCGTGCTTCATTTGCATAATCACATCACACCGCTTTTTCTAATAAGGGTGTTTTCAAAAGTGAAAGCGCTTTCTAGACACGGTTCTTTTGAAAAAAACCCTCCTTTTTCGAAAGATCCCGTACTCATTTTTTGAGGAGTATGGGATTTTTCGAGAGAGGTTTTTTTTTCCCCCGAAAGAACCGCATCTAGACAGCGCTTTCATTTTCGAAAAACTCTTTTTCAAAAAAGTGCTTGGACGCCATTATACAAATAAAGTACGAGATATTTAATTCCTCACTTCATTTGCACTTTCGATTTGCCTAATTTACATCCCTCTTTCGAAAGAGGGATATAGTCTAGACATAGCCTTAGAGCTTGTTTACATGGGAAAATTGACCAGAATAGCTCCCTTTCTGTGCAATGTATTCTGGACTAAAAATCACATTGCTCTGGAATTATTAGGGCACTTTATGAGTGCACTGATTATTCTAGAATATAGTGACATTTCTTCTGGAGTAGAGCATCCACAGTGGGAATAGCCACTGCATAATGACAAAATTAGTAAATGGAAAATCAGGCTGTGGCAGAGGAGTTAATGTTATGAAGCTGCTGGTGAATTACATTGGACTATTTAAGTGACCCTGCTTGTCTACTTAATTAGTAACAATTGAAACACTACCTGTTTATGAGAAATAAGTGTGAGTTGTTATGATGGCAAATTATTTTGATTTGGGCACCATAATCATTCTGAATATGAAAAAGGCCCAAATTTTCAATATTGGTGGTATGAAGTTAAGCTGCCACATTCACATTTAAATAACTGGCCTGATTTTTAGAAGGGTTGAGAACCTACAACTTCTGTTAGAGTCAGAGGGTGCTTAATAAGACAGTTATTTAGATATCTAGGTTGGAAATACGGGATTGACTTTGCAGAGCCTGGGTTTCCAATGTTGCCCTGTACAAATTATGATCTTTGTTGGATGGGTATTGAGTGACCAATATTCACATGTGTGTATTGAGGCTCCGAAGGGCAATATCATCAGAAAATATTGTTAAATAGCCTCCGTACTAGATGACTGGAAGACAGTTAACATGACGCCTATTTTTAAAAAAGACCACAGAAGTAGTACTGGCAATTCCAGGCCAGGAAGCCTAAACTTCAGCACTGGGCAAACTGTAGTAAAAAACCAGAATTATTACACATGCAGATGAACACAAGTGTCACCTAATCTTTGAAAAAAAAGGGGGGGGGGGGGGGGAGAAGAGAAATATTTAGACCAAATGAAAATCCTGTGCTAAATTAACAGTAAAGCTGGTTTAGTAACATCAGGGCCATCAATGGGACACAATAGGAAAAACTATTTCCCTAGGAGGGTGGGGAAGCACTGGGCTGGGTTCCCTAGGGAGGGGGTGGAATCTCCATCCCTAGAGGTTTTTAAGTCTCGGCTTGACAAAGCCCTGGCTGGGTTGATTTAGTTGGGATCGGTCCTGCCTTGGGCAGGGGGCTGGACTCGATGGCCTCCTGAGATCTCTTCCAGCCCTAGGATTCTATGAAATGGGACAGCCACCTGAAGGACTGGTGATTTAAAAGGGCCCATGCCTCCTGGCAGGAGCATACTGGCAATCAAAATAGGCCCAGGAAATGGGTTGAGAATGGCCCTCCCCATGACGTCACCCCTCAAGCCCCGCCCCCTGCATCATTTCCAGCACGTGGTGCAGGCGGTGGGTCAGGCTCTGCGTGCCGCATGCAGCGCGAACACGAAGCCGCTCGGAGTGAGCAGCAACGGTGTGCGGACACAACGGCCCACCGGGAAATTCCCGGTATCCTGCCGAGCCAGTCTGCCCCTGCCTCCTGGTCAGTCTGCTGCAACCCTAATGGTAGTAGTGACCAGAGCTCCAGGCCCTTTAAATTACCACTGCAGCCTTGGCATGAATAGCATGGGAGGATAGACCCTACTCCTACCCCTTCCCGAGGCCCTGACCGTCCAGAGACATGCCTGCGCCCTCACCTTATTCAAGGTTCTGTAAATCTCTCCTCAGCCTTGAGTAACATAAATCAATAATAGATTGCCCTTTTGATAGCCCCAACAGAGTCCCGAGTCATTTTCGAGGACTCTGAGCCAGATATTTCAAGGATTTCAGTCAATTAAAGATTCAGATAGACACCCAGTGGCCTGTACAAATGTGCAAATAAGTATCAATTGTGTTCCAGTTAAAAAAGTTAACCTTCAAAGTCCAGACATGATAATATGTTGTCCAGTGACCCTACGTGGGAAAATCAGCAGGAGGCGTATCATATTTGGGAGCATTGTGAGACATTCAGTACTCATTCTCATTTCCATAAGGAATGTTACTATCTGGCACTACCACAGATAAAGGAAAATGGTTAAATTCGCCCCATACGGAGAAGGATCCACACAAGGCATATGTGCCACTTCAGTCCCATTTGAAACCCTACTTTTGAAGACTTCACTAATGCTTAGGATTTCTTCTGGATCTCTTTCTCCTCCGTGGAGACTAATGATAAAAACAAGTGGAAAGATAAGACTTAAACAATTTAAACTTATTGTAGCCTCTTCTGTCTTAATAATCCAGAGACCTAAACTGTTCTTGTGTTGCAGGTGTATCCATCACAACATAGGCTTCTGGAGCAGGTGTGTTTGTTGGTAGGAACACTGGACAAGTGGCTATTCCGCATCACTGAGAGAGACTGGGAGCCCCAGTCTAAGAGTGAGAAATAGATTCCTATCTAGGCAGTCAACCGACCATGTTCAAAGAAGCACATCCAATTTCTAACCCTCCAGCTCACTCTGCTAGGAACAGTCTTCTGTGGGAATGTGCTGATTTGGCCTACAGAGGGCAGCCACTGGCTAAATATTAAGATTATTATACAGGAGCTGATACGCCGAGAGCACAATGTCACCATCCTAGTGTCAAACGCTTCCATCTTCATCCCACCGCACGGTGAGACAGCAGAGGAGTTTGAGGTGTTCCCTGTGCCTTTTACAAAAGAACAGCTTGACTCTTTGATCAATGAGATAACAAACTTGTGGCTGTATAATAAGCCAACAGCACTGACCTTTTGGCAGTTCTACAAGGAAATGGGAAAGGTGACTAGGAAAATAAATGAGAAAAACAGACATATTTGTAATGGCGTGTTAGTCAACCAGGATTTAATGGCCCGGCTGCAAAGGGGCAAGTATGACGTGCTTCTGTCCGATCCGTTGTGTCTTTGTGGTGACCTTATTGCTCTCAAACTCAGAATTCCATTTCTGTACACTCTGCGGCTCACGGCAGCCTGGTCAGCAGAGCGGCATTGTGGGAAGATGCCCTCTCCACCTTCGTACGTACCTGCAGCCATGTCTGAACTGACAGACAAGTTGTCGTTCAGTGATAGAATAAGAAACATAGTGTCTTACTGCTTCCAGGACTCCTATTTTCAGAGGTACTGGGAAGAATGGGATTTGTACTACAGTGAAATTCTAGGTAAGCATTTAACTCTTTCAGTCCTATTCTCATTGTTATTAGAGAGTCTTAATTGATGTCCGATCCAAAAATCTGTCAGAAGAATGTTAATGTTGCAAAGACAAACACTTGTTAGGAGGAGCCAGACTTAAACCCACCCCATGCAACATCAGCCCAATCGCACTGTGCAACTGCATGTTCCTAACTGAGCCTTGTGCTGTACCGCCTGGCTGAACAGAATTCAGCTCTTCGGTTCCAGGCCAATGTCTTCATATGGGTGAAGTCTTTATTATTATAATTAATTTTAATTTATATTACAGTAATGCCTAGAAACGCTACTCATGGACTGGGGTCACTGAGCTCCACACTGTAAGCAGATTACAATGTAACCCTGCCTCATACTACACCTTCTGGGCACTGAATGAGATAGAAGAAATAGCATGTGATCATGGAATTGAAGATTGTCATCCTGTATACTCACAAGGGTGTAGGTGAGAGACCAGGGCTCTGTTTCCAGCAGAGCCAGAAGTGAACTTGTGTCTCCTGTGAACTACAGCCATCCCATCTCCAATTGAGGGTGGGTGAGACTTGGCTCCCTTCCAGTAGAGAGGCACCATGGTTTAGCTCACTATTAATTGGTGTGAAGTGCAGACTTACTAGTGCCAGGTGTTGGCAATGGTGGCATTAGAATGCCTAGTGCCTAGCCCAGTGCTGCCCCTGGAGCAAAGGATGTTTTGATGGGAGTATGTCAGTGGTTCAGTGATGTGGCGTGCTCTCAGCAAGTGGCTGGGCTCCATGAGAGGATAAACTTTACAAGTGCTGCTTAGCTCATTGAGGTAGCTACTGTTTCGGCAAGCGAGGTAACGGTGAGCGCTGTAGTGTTGGAGGTTCTGGGTTCAAATCCACTGCAGAAGCAAACAAGCATGTAATTTTGACAATTCCTTCTGTGCTTCTTGTTAGATTCCGAGAAGGGCTCAGGTGTCTGCCCATAGTACTAGTGAAGTGTGCATTCATTGATTTTTAAGGCCCTCAGGGCCATTAAATACCTTAGTCTGATAGTTCTTGATGCTCTTCTCTTGACCTTCTGTAATGCAGTGTGGAGAACTGGGTGCCATACTACAGCTGAGGCTTAAGCAGCGCAGAGTAGATGGGAAGAATGACTTCTCCTGTCTTGCTCGTTAACACTCTGGGTTAAATCAGCCTGGAATCACGTTTACCTTTTTTTTTTTTTTTTTTTTTTGCACCAGTGTACCATTGCTCACTCCTGTTTGTCTTGTGTTCCACTATCACCCCTAGATCTCTTTCTGAAGTTCTCCTTCGTGGACAGTCACTTCCCCGTTGATGTGTGTGAAACTGATTGTTCCTTCCTAAATGGAGCACCTTGCAGTGGATCTTATTGAATTTCATCCTGTTTATCTGAGACTAGTTCTCCAGTTTGTCCAGATCTTTTTGAATCATGACTATATTCTGCAAAGCACTTGCAACCCTTCCCTGCTTGGTATCACCTGCAAACTTTGTAAGTGTGTTCTGTATGCCATTTAAGTTGCTTGGTTCTGTTCAATATCGTCACAATCCTAATAACTGATCCCGGTGGAGGAGGGATCCTTAGGTGAGTGGTCTCTTTGTCAGTCTCACACAGGGCGGGGGAGGCAAGTGCATGGGGGAGGAGGGGAGTGTTGCCCGGGCTGGACATTGTGCTGAGGTCTACACACTTGCAACCTCGTGCAGCGTTACTGTGTGGCACGTGGATGCAGCAAGCAGCCCCTGAGTGCAACCGGGGAGCCTGGGATCCTGCTGGCTTCCAGAGGGCGATGGCAACTGACTTCTCCAGAGGGATGGCGGGCCGCAGGTGGGTGTCATGTCTCTGGAGGGCAGGGGCGAGCCAGGCACAGAGTTCCAGGAACGTCTCTTTCCTCATGCGGAAGATTTGGAGCCACTGCTGGTCGTCCCACCATTCCATGGCCAGCCGGTCCCACCAGTCGGAACTGGTGTCCAGCCTCCAGAACCATCTCTCGACAGTGGGCTGTGGTTGCCACAGAGTAGCTGCTGCACCCAGGGAAAGGGACTCCAGATTGAGCCCGGGGTCAAGCTCATGCAGGAGCAGGATGGCAGTGTGCATCAACTGCTGCACAAACCTTCCAGTCCTAGTGGTCCCTTCCAGTCCTACTATTCTATGATTCTGTATATTTCAGAGGAGGTTAGATAAATGTCTATCAGGGATGGTCTAGACAGTACTGGGTCCTGCCATGAGGGCAGGGGACTGGACTTGGAATAATTTTGTTAGTTATTAAAAAAAAAAAAAGCCTCATCCATCTCTTCTTCCTTGTTCCTGGTGTGTAATAGACCTTTACCATGATATCACCCTTGTCTTTCCCCCCTTTTAACCTTATCCAGGGGCTCCTCACAATTCTGTCTCAACCTCAGACCAGCAACTCACCGAGGCGCTCAGCACCTTGCAGGGTTGAGCCTTTAATGCTTCAGGAAATGGAACCTTATTATTGCCATCTCATGCTCACGGCAGATGACTTGGTTTCCCGTAGCTATTCCATTACAATAGCTCTTGTATGGGAAGAATGGACCGCGAGATTGAAAAAGGAAAGAATGAGGCAACCCATGCATATAAGCTGCAATGAAGTTTATTTTTAGTGTCTAAAACCAATGCAACTTTGCAAACCGTGGGAAATATGGCCCTGCAGGAGCTTAGAAGTTATTTTTTTCTCAAAGTGAAAAGGAATTCCATGTTTTCTTAAGTGAAGAGAAAATGGGTTAACCAGGAAAAAGCTGTGTTTTGTACCAGAGACTTCCAAATCCAGCCTGCAGTACGTTGTTGTCCCTCGAGGGCACACGGAAAAGCTCACAGCTCTTAGACCAACCCCCACCTTTCATCATATCTATTCTAGTTCTCATTCCTGTGTTATCAGATCTGAACCTCTCCTCCCATCTGGAATGTAGTTAGCGCCTGGGAGGGGGAGAGAGTGCCATTAGTCCCTTTGTACAGACGCAGGGCCACCTCAGATCCTGTCATTGATCTTGGCAAGTTCCTGACTTAGCTCTCTTTCACTTACCCTAGGAAAAGAGATCCATTTAATCGGGGGCTAATATACTTGCCTTCTACCATTTTCCTTTAGCTATGTGGCCTGATCCTGTGTCACATCCCCCAGCCCTTCTGAACACCATGGGGTTGGGCATCTTGGGCCATCAGGCAGCGTACCCATGACAGATCAACTACATAGCCATGTGTGGTGGCTTCCGGCCGGGTGTTGTATGGAGAACTGGAAAGGTTGTAGGGGCAGGGACCAGTCATGATGGTAAAGTGTCTGCCCAGTAGGCAGGAACACAGAGTTCCCATAACCCACCTAACTGTGAGGCATTCCCTCCCAACCACTGACTGTGCTCTTGGAAGAAATTTCCTACAAAGTTAGAGGATGGGGTGTTCTGATCTCTGACCATTTACGATAGGACAGCTCCTAGTTCTACCTCAGATGTGTCTGTCTTTTGAATGAACTCTTAGCTGTAAGCATTGGACTGCTGCCGAGGGCTGTCTGTAGATCTGTGAATGCTTTTGCTGCTGCCTCGGTCGGCTTTCCCATGTCAAGACCCTGGGCTTTGACGGGGTTTGCTCTGGTGGTGAAGGGGGGAATAAATCCTCTGTAATACCTTACTACACCCAGGAATGCTCGGTCTGGGAGCCACAGAGGACACACAGGCGGGCGTCAGTGGCTTGATCGGCACACCTGGAAACAACCCCTAGGCGGTTTTCTGTAATCAAACCTGTCATGCTTAGTGCTTGAAAAGCTGGCCGTCTTTTGGCTATTGGAGGTTTGCCAATTATGGTTTCTTGCACCATAATGGAAATCTCTAGATAATCTTTATTCTTTAGTAACTGGAGAATGGCACAGTAAGACGAGATTGCATGACATGATTCTCATGGAAGATCAGAATAACTGTTTACTGCATTTCTCTCTTCCTGTTAAACAGCTCTATTCAGGCTAAATGTATTTAAGCTCCTTTTACATGTGTCCGGTTCACAAGCGCTGCCAGAACTTCTAAGGGAAAGTTGAGGTGAGTAGCAATGGGACAGCATGGGCAGTTGGTTTATATGACATGTTGTGGTAGGAAACTGCATTTCCTCATGAAGAAAAACCAGTAATTAGAATATCCTGATAGATATCTAACCTATTAGGTAAGAGATTTTTGCAGGGGGGTTTTCTGCAGTTTTCTGTGGGGTGGTTCCATATTTTGTTTGTGTGGTGACATAAATGTATAATGACTTCTCATGGGAACCTCTTGTTGAGATGTTGATAGGCAAACCAAAGCCCCTACCTTGCAACTGCATTTTTGCTGGTAGGCTCCAAAGCTGGAACCTGCCTCACAGGAACCAGTTGCCTTCCGGAATATGTGTTTCCATCATCTCTTAGGGCTTGTTGACATGGGGAAATTCACCAGAATAGTTCCAAGTCTGGACAGTGCATTCTGGACTAAAAGTCACTTTATTCTGCAATGATTAAGGCACTTTGGGCTTGTTTAAGCTATGGAAAAGATTGATGATGCCGCAGTCGATCTTCCGCAGCTCGAATGAGCTGATTTAGTGAAGATATGCTAATTTGAACTGAGAGAGTGCTCCTGCTGGCGCCAGTAGTCCTGCTCCTCACAAGGCATAAGGGGAATCAATAGGAGCATTTGTTCCTGTGTGGATGGTACCAGAATACGATTTAAGATACTTTGACTCCAGCTACATAATTAACATAGCTAGAGTTGTGTATCTTAACTTGACTTTCCTCTTGAGTGTAGACCAGGCCTTTCTGAATGCACAGATTATTCTAAAAAATAGTGCCTCTTATTCAGGAACAGTGGGAGGTATTCCAGAATAGCCACTGAATAATGATAAAATTAGTAAGTGGAAAATCAGGCCACGGCAGAAGTTATTGTTAAAAATTGCATTGAACTATTTGTGAGCCGCACTTGTCTACCTGATGAGTAACAATTGAAAAACTACCTGCTGTTTATAATATACTAAATATATAAGAACTAAATAAGAACTGTGAATTCTTATTTTGCTGGTAAATTATTTTGACGTGAGATATACTGGAATGTTCCAGGACACCGCCTTAATTTCTGTTACAGTCATGGGGTTGGAAAAACTTGTCAGTTTAAAAGATCTGGAAATAAAAAAGGCCCACATTTTCAAAACTAGGGATGTAAAGTTAGGCTTCTGCATTCACATTTAAGCATCTAAATAACTGGCCTGATTTTCAGAAGGGTTGGGAATCCACAGCATCTACTGGAGTCAGAGGAAGCTTCATAGGATAATTCTTTAAGTACCTAGGTGGCAAATATGGCATTGCAGTGCCTGTGTTTTAAATGCTGTCATATGTGAGTGACGAGCTATGCTGGGTGGGTATTGAGTGGTCAATATTCATAGGTGTTTATTGAGGCTGAGAAGGGCGAGACAGTCTGAGAAGGGCAACACAGTAAATAGCCTCTCTACTAGATGACTGGAGGAGCGTTAATATAACACCTATTTTTAAAAAGACTGCAGAAGCAATGTTGGCAGTCTGATGTTGGGCAAACTGGTAGGGTAGCGAAACACAGAATTATTACGCAGGGGGGGGAGGGGGGGGGAGCAGGGAACAGAAATATTCAGACCAAAAGAAAAACTTGTACTAAATTAAAGATACAGTTGCTAAAATAAGTAAGCTGGGGCTTGCTGATTGTGGGCAGGGGTGGCAAAGAGGGCTGTTCAAGCCCTAGATGGCATGACACACGGAGGAACTGGCCAGGGACTCTAGCTCTCAGCTCCACTCCTTATACCAGAGATCCTGTGCCCACCTTGCCCGGGAGCCCAGTAAGTCTCTCCTCCAGCCAGAGTAGCATAAATAAACAAATCCTCTCTATTGCCCCCAATCCTTTTTTGAAGGACTCCGAGCCAGCTAGAAAAAGGATTTTAGTCCTTTAAAGATTCAGATGGACACCTAGTGGACTTCACAAAAGTGCAAATAAATAGTAGTTATGTTGCAGTTAAAAAAGCTAGGCTTCGAAGTCCAGGCCTGACAATATGCTCTCCAGTCACCCTACATGGGAAAATTAGGAGGAGCCATCTCATCATACTTAAAAATCAACCCGTTAAAAGCATTGTGAGACATTGCGTGCTTATTCTCATTGCCATAATGACTATTATGAAGTGGAACTACCCTGGTACTACCACAGATAAAGCAAAAGGATTATATTCACCCCTATGCACAGGGATCAACACAATGCTACTATGCCACTTAAGTCCCATTTGAAGCCATATTTTTGAACACTTGACTTAATGCTTAGGATTTCTTCTGGCCCCCTTTCTCCTCAACAGAAACTAATGATAAAAACAAGTGGGAAGAGAGAAGTTCAACAAGAGAGAAATGTTGTAACCCTTTTTGTCTTCTTAATCCCAAGTCCCAAACTGTACTTGTGTTGCAGGTGTATCTGTCACAACATAGGTTTTGAAAATCCACTCTTCTGGAGCCAGGTGTGTTTCCTGTAAAGTGTACTGGGCAAGTGGCTATTTCACATCACTGAGAATCCGTGACTGAGAGTGAGAAATCTATTTCTATCTAGGCACCCAACCGACCATGGCTTGCACCACAACCGGAACCCGTGTGTCAAAACTCACTCTGCTAGGAACAGTCTTCTGTGGGAATGTGCTGATTTGGCCTACAGAGGGCAGCCACTGGTTAAATATTAAGATCATTATACAGGAGCTGATACGCCGAGAGCACAATGTCACCGTCCTAGTGTCAAACGCTTCCCTCTTCATGACATCGCATGATGAGACAGCAGAGAAGTTTGAGGTGTACTTTGTGCCTTTCGGAAAAAACCACCTTGACTCCTTGATCAAAGACATAGTGAACTTGTGGCTGTATAATAAGCCAACAGCACTGACCTTCTGGAAGTTCTACAAGGAACTGGAAAAGGTGGTCAACAAAATGAATGAGGTAAATAGACATTCGTGTGATGGCGTGTTAGCCAGCCAGGATTTGATGGCTCGGCTGCAGAGGGGCAAGTATGATGTGCTTCTGTCTGATCCGGTGTGGTGTGTGTCTGTGGTGACCTAATTGCTCTCAAGCTCAGAATTCCATTTGTGTACTCTCTGCGGTTCACACCAGCCTCGACTGTGGAGCGGCATTGTGGGAAGATGCCCGCTCCACCTTCGTACGTGCCTGCAGCCTTGTCTGAACTCACAGACAAGTTGTCGTTCCGCGAAAGAATAAAAAACATAGTGTCTTACCGCCTCCAGGACTACGTTTTTCAGAGTTATTGGGGAGAATGGGATTTGTACTACAGTGAAATTCTAGGTAAGCATTTAACTCTTTCAGTCCTATTCTCACTGTTATTGGAGAGTCTTGAATTCACATCCAAAAATCTATGTCGGAAGAATGTTAATGTTGCAAAGACAAATTCTCATTAGGAGGAGCCGGATTTAAACTTGCCCCATGCAACATCAGCCCAATTGCACTATGCAACGGCATGTTCCTCACTGAACTTTGATCCGCACCGCCTGGCTGAATAGAATTAAACTCTGTTATGTTCCAGATCAGTGCCTTAACAGAGGAGTACAGTCTTTATTATTATTAATTCATATTTGCATTACGGTAGTGCCTGGAAACTCTATGCATGGGCCAGGTTTACTGATCATTGCGCTGGGCACTTTGAGGAGTTAACAATGTAACCCTGCCTCATTCTATCACTCCTGGGCACTAAATGAGGTGGGACAAATAGCATGTGATCATGTAATTGAAGATTGTCATTCTGTATACTCACAATGGGATAGATGAGAGACCAGGGCTCTGTTCCTAATAGAGCCAGAAGTGAACTTGTGCCTCCTGTGGTCTACAGCCCTCCCATCTCCAAATGAGACTTGACTCCCTTCCAGCCAAGAGGCACCAGGGCGTAGATCAGCATTAATTCGGTGTGAGATGCAGACTTACTAGTGCCGGGTGTTTGCAAAGATGACCCTGGAACTGCTAGTTTTTAGCTCAGCGTTGCTCGTAGACTGAAGGATGTTGTGCTGGGAATGTGTAAATGGGTTCAGTGATGTTCTGTGTCCTCTACAAGTGGCTGGTCTCCATGAGGGGCTAACCTCTACAGTTACTGCTGGCTCATTGAGGGGGTCACTGTTTTAGCTGAAGTGGAATTGGACGTTCTGGGTTCAAATCCAGCGCAGAAGCAAACAAGCCCATCATTTTCTAATTCCTTCTGTGCTTCTCATTGGATCTGCAGGAGAGCTCAGGCGTCTACCCATTGTGCTAGTGAGCTGTACATTCCTAGATTTTAAGTCAGACTCTGCCATCAGATCCCAAAGTGGGACCTCTCTCCACAGCTCGCTGGAAGTCCCTATACACAGCTGTCAAAAATAATAATAATATCTTAGAATATTAGAATGGGAAGGGACTTCAAGAGTCATCCAGTCCAGTTCCCTGCCCTCACGGCAGGATCAAGCACCATCTAGACCATCCCTTTTATTCACAAGGTTTGTTATTCTATTAAAGCTATAAGGTTGATTTGACATGATTTGTTCTTTACAAATCCATGCTCAGTGTTACTTATTACCTTATCTTCCAGATGTTTGCTGATGGATTCCTTAATTCTTTACTCCATTATCTTGCCTGGCACAGAAGTTAAGCTGACGGGTCTGTTGTTTCTTTGGTTGTCCTTACTTCCGTTTTTATAGATGGGCACTAGCTTTGCCCTTTTCTGGTCTTCTGGAATGTCTCTCGACTTCTATGACTTTTCCAGACACCTTCTCAATCAGCTCCTTGTGTTTTCTAAGATGCATTTCATCAGACCCTTGTGACTTGAAGACAACTAACTTTTTAAAAAGTGATTTTTAACTTGTTCTCTTACTATTTTAACTCCCAAACCTACTAGGTTTTCAGTGGCATGAACTCTGTTAGGCGTCCAGTTGCTACCAACCTGCTTGGTGAAAACCAAGATAAAGAAATCTTTAGGGACCTTTGCCATTTCCACATTCTCTGTTACCGAAATGAAGAACAGTCCTACCGTGTGATTGGTCTTCCTTTTGTATATCTAATATATTTGTAGAATGTTGTCTTGTTACCTTTTATGTCTCTAGCTAGATGGAGCTCATTTTGTGCCTTAGCCTTTCTCATTATGTCCCTACATACTTGTGTTCTTTGTTTATATTCACCTGCATCCTGATGGGGGGGAGGAGGAGGCAGCACTCCAGCGGCCTCTCCGTAGCCTGCAGGATGTCTGGGGAGGGGCAAAGTTCTGGGAGCTGCCCCCCTCCTCCCATTGGTCCCTCCCACGTCCTACAGGCTCTCGGTTTTGGGGAGGAGGGCTCTGTACCCAAGCTGGTGGCAGGCAGGATGGCGGAACCCCAGCGCTGCTGGCCACGCGCTTTGTGGTGCAGCTGCCCCCGGTTTCCACACTCAGTATGGTGTCCCTCCCCTCTGTGCCCCTACCTGTCGCAACGCTCCACTCTGTGCCCCCTCCCTTTCCATGTTGTCCAACGCAGCCCCATTTCTGTGTGTCCCACTGTCTAGGCACAACCAAACCCTGACCTTGGTGTACAGTAGGGTCAGAGGAAGGTGCCTGCCAAATTTGGCAGTCCTAGGTCTTACTGTTTAGGAGGAGTACTTGAACAAACTGGCTCACAGACAGACAGGCGTGTGTGTGTGTGTGTGTGTGTGTTAGAGCGAGAGAGAGACATTAAACACTGTTTGTTGGACAAAACAGAATTTTTTGCAGGTTAGGTAACTACTATGAGGTAACACAAGCACCTGGAAAGAGATAATCCTAAACAGAGATGTTAATGTCTGGGGGGAGGTACGGTCCCTTGTTTATCCCCTGAGAAGGGTGGGCTGCAGGGGAGGCTGGTGGTTCTCCCAACATTGCCAGGAGTCCCCTCTACCATCTAAGATGCCTGCTGGAGACATCTAAGACCGAGCGGGACAAGGATTGGGCCCAGATCTACCATCTAAGATGCCTGCCGGAAACATCTAAGACCAAGCGGGACAAGGATTGGGCCCAGGCATGAGGCTACTTCAGCTGTGAGAGAGGTTTACATCAACTGCTTAGGGTAAGAATTTGCCTGTAGCAAGTTTCTTAGTGGAGTAGGATTAGCTGGCATCTTTTATTTTAATGTAGCCACTTCCTTTAATTTATCTGTTTTGACTTGCAACCTCTTATATCATACTTATATCTGGCCCTCTTTTGGCTTTTGGAAGATGCCATTGCTGGTTTCCCATCTCATATTACAGATCTGTAGATAATCTTTAGTCTTTAGTAACTGGTACATGACACAGTGAGAATTGATTGCACAGAATACTTCTCACGGAAGATGAACATAATTCTTTACCGCCCTTGCTGTACCTGTTAAGGAGCCCTATTCAAGGTAAGCTCGTAGTAAAGGGACAGCATGTGCAATTGGTTATATAAAATGTTTGGAAGGAAACTGTAGTTACATTTTTTTTTTTCTTCACAAGAAACTAGTTTAAATATATATCTGGATGTTCTGTTAGGTAAAAGATTTTTGCATGTGTTTTTTCTGTGGGGCACTTCCACATTTTGACTCTGTGGTTATATAATTTTTATATGAACTTCTCACTGGAACAACATCTTGAGATGTTGATAGGCAAACCAAAGCCCTGACCTTACAACTGCTTTTGTGCTGGTGGGCTCCAAAGCAGGAATCTGCCTAAGTGGAACCAGTTGCAGGACTGGAATCCGAGAAACCTGCCTTCTGGTGCATGTGTTTGTCATCTCTTATGGCTTGTTTACATGGGGAAATTGACCAGAATAGTGCCCGGTCTGGGCAGTGTATTCTAAACTAAAAATCACATTGCTCTGGAATTATCAGGGTGCTTTGTGTGTGCGCTGTACTAGAATAAAGTGACACTTATTCGAGAACAGCGTGTCCACAGTGGGAGGTATTCTAGACCAGCCACTGCAGAATGGTAAAATTAGTAAGTGAAAAATCAGGCACTAGCAGAAGAGTTAATCTTACAGAGCAGATGAATTGCACTGGACTATTCAAGTGAGCCCCAAATGCCTACTTAGTAACAATTGAAAAACTACCTGTTTATAAATATTAAGCATGAATAATTATTATGATGACGATGAATTATTTTGATTTGGAATATACTGGGCTGTTCCAGGACCCCGCCTTCATTTCTTTTACACTCATGTGGTTGGGAAAACTTGTCGGTTTAAAAAGTCTGACTATGAAAGGTCCAAATTTTAAAAATTGGGGCCATAAAGTTGGGTTTCTACATTCACAGTTAGGCGTCTAAATAACTGGCCTGATTTTTCAGAAGAGCTGGGAATCCACAATTTCTATTAGTCAGAGGATAATGATTGAGGTACTTAGGTAGGAAATTTGGAGTAGACCTTGCAGTGCCTGTGTTTCCAATGTTGCCCTGTACGAATGACAAGCTATGCTGGATGGGTATTGAGTGACCAATATTCACAGGTGTTTATTGAGGCTGAGAAGAGCGAGACCGTCAGAAAATATTTTAAATAGCCTCCATACTAGATAACAGGAGTGGAGTTAAGGTAACACCGATTTGTTAAGAAGACCACAGAAGCTGTGTTGGCAATTCCCTGCCAGGAAGCCTAACTTTACTACTGGGCAAACTGGCAGGGTGTAGTAAAAACCAGAATTCTGACACAGGCAGATGAACACAAGTGAGTGCCAGCACATCTATTTTTTAAAAAAGGGAAAAAGGAGAAATATTTAGACCAAAGGAAAAACCCGTGCTAAACATAAGGCAAGGCTGCTATAGTAAGTAACATAAGGCCTGTTGATGTTGTAGGGTGAGGGGTCATGGCAATAGGGGGGCAGGTGCTCCCTATGCAGAGGGAGCAACAAAAGGTTTATGTGCCACTTAAGGCTCATATGAAGCCCTGTTTTTGAAGACTTCACTGAAGTGTAGGTTTTCCTCTGGCCCTCTTTCTCCTCCATTGAAACTAATGATGATAAAACAAGTGCAAAGAGAGGAGTTTAGCAAGAAATGTTGTAACACTTTCTGTCTTATTAATGCAGAGACATAAACTGCACTTGTGTTCCACATGCATCCGTCACAACATAGGTTTGGAAAAACAACGAGGAGTCCTGTGGCATCTTAAGGAAGTAGCGCTTTATTTGGGTCTGAGTCTTCCTGGGCAAAGACCTACTTCATCAGAAACATCTCTTCTGGAAAAGGTGTGTGTGTTGTTAGGAGTACTGTACAAGTGGCTATTCCACGTCACTGAGAGAGACTGAGAGTCGTTGACTGACCGTGAGAAATAGATTCCTATCTAGGCAACCAGCCAACCATGGCTTCCACCACAACCACCAATTTCTAGCCCTTCAGCTCACTCTTCTAGGAACAGTCTTTTGTGGGAATGTGCTGATTTGGCCTACAGAGGGCAGCCACTGGTTAAATATTAAGATCATTATACAGGAGCTGATACGCCGAGAGCACAATGTCACCGTCCTAGTGTCAAACGCTTCCCTCTTCATGACATCGCATGATGAGACAGCAGAGAAGTTTGAGGTGTACTTTGTGCCTTTCGGAAAAAACCACCTTGACTCCTTGATCAAAGACATAGTGAACTTGTGGCTGTATAATAAGCCAACAGCACTGACCTTCTGGAAGTTCTACAAGGAACTGGAAAAGGTGGTCAACAAAATGAATGAGGTAAATAGACATTCGTGTGATGGCGTGTTAGCCAGCCAGGATTTGATGGCTCGGCTGCAGAGGGGCAAGTATGATGTGCTTCTGTCTGATCCGGTGTGTCTCTGTGGAGACCTAATTGCTCTCAAGCTCAGAATTCCATTTGTGTACTCTCTGCGGTTCACACCAGCCTCGACTGTGGAGCGGCATTGTGGGAAGATGCCCTCTCCACCTTCGTACGTGCCTGCAGCCTTGTCTGAACTCACAGACAAGTTGTCGTTCCGCGAAAGAATAAAAAACATAGTGTCTTACCGCCTCCAGGACTACGTTTTTCAGAGTTATTGGGGAGAATGGGATTTGTACTACAGTGAAATTCTAGGTAAGCATTTAACTCTTTCAGTCCTATTCTCACTGTTATTGGAGAATCTTGAATTCTCATCCAAAAATCTGTCAGAAGAATGTTCATGTTGCAAAGACAAATTCTCATTAGGAGGAGCCGGATTTAAACTTGCCCCATGCAACATCAGCCCAATTGCACTATGCAACGGCATGTTCCTCACTGAACTTTGATCCGCACCGCCTGGCTGAATAGAATTAAACTCTCTTATGTTCCTGGTCAGTGCCTTAACAGTATTTATTATTATTAATTCTTATTTGTATTACGGTAGTGCCTGGAAACTCTGTGCATGGGCCAGGTTTACTGATCATTGCGCTGGGCACTTTGAGGAGTTAACAATGTAACCCTGCCTCATTCTATCACTCCTGGGCACTGAATGAGGTGGGACAAATAGCACGTGATCATGTAATTGAAGATTGTCATTCTGTATACTCACAATGGGATAGATGAGAGACCAGGGCTCTGTTCCTAATAGAGCCAGAAGTGAACTTGTGCCTCCTGTGGTCTACAGCCCTCCCATCTCCAAATGAGACTTGACTCCCTTCCAGCCAAGAGGCATCAGGGCGTAGATCAGCATTAATTCGGTGTGAGATGCAGACTTACTAGTGCCGGGTGTTTGCAAAGATGACCCTGGAACTGCTAGTTCTTAGCTCAGCATTGCTCGTAGACCGAAGGATGTTGTGCTGGGAATGTGTAAATGGGTTCAGTGATGTTCTGTGTCCTCTACAAGTGGCTGGGCTCCATGAGGGGCTAACCTCTACAGTTACTGCTGGCTCATTGAGGGGGTCACTGTTTTAGCTGAAGTGGAATTGGACGTTCTGGGTTCAAATCCAGCGCAGAAGCAAACAAGCCCATCATTTTCTAATTCCTTCTGTGCTTCTCATTGGATCTGCAGGAGAGCTCAGGCGTCTACCCATTGTGCTAGTGAGCTGTACATTCCTAGATTTTAAGTCAGACTCTGCCATCAGATCCCAAAGTGGGACCTCTCTCCACAGCTCACTGGAAGTCCCTATACACAGCTGTCAAAAATAATAATAATATCTTAGAATATTAGAATGGGAAGGGACTTCAAGAGTCATCCAGTCCAGTTCCCTGCCCTCACGGCAGGATCAAGCACCATCTAGACCATCCCTAACAGGTGTCTGTTTTACCTGCTCGTAAATATCTCCAGTGATAGCGATTCTGCAATCTCCTTAGTGATTTATTGTACTTCTTAACCACGCTGGCAGTTAGGAAGTTTTCCAGATGTCCAACCTAAACCTCCCTTGCTGGAATTTAAGCCCATTGCTTCTTGTCCTGTCATCAGAGGCCAGGAGAACAATTATTCTCCTTCCTCCTTGTAACAGTTTTAGATACTTGAAAGCTGCTCTTATGTCACCTTTCAGTCTTCTCTTTTCTAAACTGAACAAGACCAATTCCTTCAGTCTTTCCTCGTAGGTCACATTTTATAGTCCTTTAATATTTTTGGCTGCTCTTGACTGGACCTTCTCCCATTTCTTCACCTCTTTCTTCAGACGTGGTGCCTAGAACTGGACACAATACTCCAGTTGAGACCTAATCAGCACAGAATAGAGGCGAAGAATGATACTCCTGTTAATGCATACCAGAATGTTTACGTTTTTACAACAGTGTCACATTGTTCATTCATATTTAGCTTGTGTTCCATTATGACCCTTTAGATCTCTTTCTGTAGTACTCCTTCCTAGACAGTCACTTCCCATTTTGTATGTGTGAAACTGATTGCTCCTCCCTAAGTGGAGTACTTTCCATTTATCCTTGTTGAATTTCATCCTATTTACCCCAGACCATTTCTCCAGTTTGACCAGATCATTTTCAATTATGACCCTACCTTCCAAAGCACTTGCATCCCCTCCCAACTTGGTATCATCTGCACACTTTATAATCGTACTCTCTTTGCCATCATAAATTGATGAAGATATTGAACAGAACAAGTCCCAAAACTGATCCCTGCAAAACCCCACTGGTTATGTCCCTTCCAGCATGACTGTGAACCATTGATAAGTTCTCTCTGAGAACAGTTATCCAACCAGCTATGCCCCCACCTTCTAGGAGCCCCATCCACACTGTATTTCCCTAGTTTATCGACAAGAAGGTCATGCGACACTGTGTCAAATGCTTTATTAATGTCTTGTTAAATCACATCTACTGCTTCCCTTTTATTCACAAGGCTGGTTATTCTATTAAAGCTATAAGGTTGATTTGACATGATTTGTTCTTTATAAATCCATGCTCAGTGTTACTTATTACCTTATCTTCCAGACGTTTGCAGATGGATTCCTTAATTCTTTACTCCATTATCTTGCCTGGCACAGAAGTTAAACTGACTGGTCTGTTGTTTCCTGGGTAGTCCTTACTTCCCTTTTTATAGATGGGCACTAGCTTTGCCCTTTTCTGGTTTTCTGGAATGTCTCCCGACTTCTATGACTTTTCCAAGATAATGGCTCAGACACCTTCTCAATCAGCTCCTTATGTTTTCTAAGATGCATTTCATCAGACCCTTGTGACTTGAAGACATCTAACTTTTTAACAAGTGATTTTAACTTGTTCTCTTCCTATTTTAACTCCCAAACCTACCAGATTTTCACTGGCATGAACTCTGTTAGGCGTCCAGTCGCCACCAACCTGCTTAGTGAAAACCAAGATAAAGAAATCTTTAGGGACCTTTGCCATTTCCACATTCTCTGTTACCGAAATGAAGAACAGTCCTACCGTGTGATTGGTCTTCCTTTTGTATATCTAATATATTTGTAGAATGTTGTCTTGTTACCTTTTATGTCTCTAGCTAGATGGAGCTCATTTTGTGCCTTAGCCTTTCTCATTATGTCCCTACATACTTGTGTTCTTTGTTTATATTCACCTGCATCCTGATGGGGGGGAGGAGGAGGCAGCACTCCAGCGGCCTCTCCGTAGCCTGCAGGATGTCTGGAGAGGGGCAAAGTTCTGGGAGCTGCCCCCCTCCTCCCATTGGTCCCTCCCACGTCCTACAGGCTCTCGGTTTGGGGGAGGAGGGCTCTGTACCCAAGCTGGTGGCAGGCAGGATGGCGGAACCCCAGCGCTGCTGGCCACGTGGTTTGTGCTGCAGCTGCCCCCGGTTTCCACTCTCAGTATGGTGTCCCTCCCCTCTGTGCCCCTCCCTGTCGCAACGCTCCACTCTGTGCCCCCTCCCTTTCCATGTTGTCCAACGCAGCCCCATTTCTGTGTGTCCCACTGTCTAGGCACAACCAACCCCTGACCTTGGTGTACAGTAGGGTCAGAGGAAGGTGCCTGCCAAATTTGGCAGTCCTAGGTCTTACTGTTTAGGAGGAGTACTTGAACAAACTGGCTCACATACAAATGGACGTGTGTGTGCGTGTGAGAGAGAGAGACATTAAACACTGTTTGTGGGACAAAACAGAATTTTTTGCAGGTTAGGTAACTACTATGAGGTAACACAAGCACCTGGAAAGAGATAATCCTAAACAGAGATGTTAATGTCTGGGGGGAGGTACGGTCCCTTGTTTATCCCCTGAGAAGGGTGGGCTGCAGGGGAGGCTGGTGGTTCTCCCAACATTGCCAGGAGTCCCCTCTACCATCTAAGATGCCTGCCGGAAACATCTAAGACCACAGACATGAGGCTGCTTCAGCTGTGAGAGAGGTTTACATCAACTGCTTAGGGTAAGAATTTGCCTGTAGCAAGTTTCTTAGTGGAGTAGGATTAGCTGGCATCTTTTATTTTAATGTAGCCACTTCCTTTAATTTGTCTGTTTTGACTTGCAACCTCTTTAAATCTGGCCCTCTTTTGCCTAATGGAAGATGCCATTGATGGTTTTCCAACTCATATTACAGATCTGTAGATAAAATGCATTCTTTTGTAACTGGTGCATGACACAGTGAGAATTGATTGAACAGAATCATTCTCACGGAAGATCAGGATAATTCTTTACCGCACTCACTGTCTCCGTTAAAGAACTCTACTCAAGGTAAGTGTATTTAAGCTCCTTGTATTTGTCTCCAGCACACAGGTGCTGCCAGACCTTCAAAGGGAAAGGTGAGGTGAGTAGTAAAGGGACAGCATGTGCAATTGGTTATATAAAATGTTTGGAAGGAAACTGTAGTTACATTTTTTTTTTTCTTCACAAGAAACTAGTTTAAATATATATCTGGATGTTCTGTTAGGTAAAAGATTTTTGCATGTGTTTTTTCTGTGGGGCACTTCCACATTTTGACTCTGTGGTTATATAACTTTATATCAACTTCTTACTGGACCATCTTCTTGAGATGTTGATAGGCAAACCAAAGCCCTGACCTTACAACGGCTTTTGTGAACAGGAATAGCTTGCGAACAGGAACAGCTAACAG